ATGGAATTTAAATTGAAAGGATATTGTTTTTGTTCGGACGATATTTTTGTTGATAAAACTGTGTTCGAGTATTGTATAGATTGGATGAACGATTGTATTCCGTTGTTTTAAAAATATTTCTTTTTATATATAAATCTTTTTTATTCTTTTTAAGGTATTTCATTCTTTCTTCAAATAGTAATCAAAGTTTTTGTGAAATTTTATATATTTTATGTATAATAATGATTTATTGTTCTATCTTCCTTAATTTTTTTAATATTCTATTTTTTAAAATGATTTATTTGCAAAATATTTAAGATAAAATTCAATTTTTATAGAGAAAGTTATTTAATTATTTGCATAATTATAAAAATATATTCTGTATATAAAAAAATCAATAAAAATTAATGTCAAATAAATTTTAACATTATCATACATCTAAATAAAAAAATTTTTTTGACGATTCAATATAATGAAGATTTCAATAAATCCTATTTTTTTCAGATTTCTTAAAATCCAAGAACAATAAAAAAATAATTGTAGATATAAATGATTCAGATTAGTGTAAAAAATATGTTTCTTGATAAAAATTTAAATTATGGTCATTGTTGTAATAATAGTATAATGAAAAAATTAAGATTTTAAAGAAAAGAATTTTAAATCATTATAGGAATATCATATCAAATTGTCAAATTGGATTTTTACAATTTGAAAATAAAAAATTTACTTATAATTTACTTATAAATAATCTTATATATAAAAATTACAAATTAGATAAAATTGTAAATTTTGAATTGTTATTTTATTTTTGTGACGTATAAAATATTTGGAGAAAGAGATAATTTTAGAAAATAACTAAGTGAAACAAATATGAAAGCTGATGTGCAAAAAATATTGGAAATTTCTTTATTATATTATAATATAATTTAATCTTCTACTAGATGGAGCAATGCATTTAGTACAAAATTGAATTTATTTATAATTTAATAAATAAGCTTCTAGTAACATCTTCACTATCAATTTTTAGAATCACCCTTAATATTTTTTATTTACTTCATCCAAATATCCTGTATAAATATTTTTTATATAAATATATATATTTATAAACACATTGATAGAAAATCATAGTAAATCACATATAAAAAATTTTGAAAGATAATATTTAAAAAAATAACAATTTTTTTTATATATTTTTATATTTTTCAATTTTACTGTATTGATTTTAAAATTTAAAAAAAATTTAAAATTTATATTTTCAATCTTCCAATTATACGAATATAATAATACTCAATAAAAAAACAACATTTATCAAAAACATTTGCATACTTTTAATCTTATATATATAAAAATGAAAAATTTAAAATACATAATTTTGTTAAATTTGGCTTCTACTATCAAACATTGTAAAGAACATTGTAAAAATTTTTTAAAAATATAATTCAAAATTATGAAATACTAGTTAAAATTAGTTTTTTTTAGTTTTTTTAGGTTCCAACCCTCTTATATAATACTCAAATAACTCATAAATTCCCTTTCTTTCTCCATATAAGATAAGGAAAATTAAAAAAATTTAATATTTATTAACTTTATTCATAGAATTATTCATAGATTAGAAGCATTGTTTTTGAGTTAATTAGCAAAAGGATCGTTTCTATACATATTACACGGTAAAATAATTACGCGTCTTATGTGTCATATATGTGATATTAATTTCTTTTCTCTAATATTGCGTTTTAATTTTCTTTAAGATTGCATGATAAGAAACACTTGTATATATTATAAACAACGAAAAATTATATCATAAAAATATATTGTTTTTGATTATTTTAAAATTATTTTCTTTTTTGATTAACAAAAATTATTCCACCATTAAATCATGAATTTTGAGCGTGAATAATGACTTTTTCTTTAATGATAGAGAAAAACTAAAAATAATAGCAACTCAAAAATCAATTTAAACGATTTACGAGAAGAAATTCACTCGCATAGATATAAAAGTAAAAGCGTAAAATTAAAAATAAGATTCTACAAATTTATTTATCTAACAAGTTCTTATTTCCGGATTATTATTTTTTTTTTTCTTTCACGCATCATGAAAGTACCATGTTTCTCAACACAGCGTTGCACGCATGCAAAAGCAATTTTTCTACGAGAGAAAGAGTATTACCTGTTCGTAGTTCCTGATAAAGTCCCGTAATTCTCGCTCCTTGTCCTCGAGGGTGCCATAGAGTGCTTTCATTTGATTAAGAAGATCGAACTTTTCAGCCTTGAGCCTCTTGCGATCGGCCTTAAGTGCCTGGAGGGCTTCTTTGGCGTGTTGCAGTTCCATTTCAAGAGCAACAAATCGTGCCTCGTCCTCGAGTGCCGCATCCTCGGAGCCAACCTCGCCGCGTGCCGCTCCGCTGAATAGCAATCTTCTCAATCTGGCTACCTCAGCTACCAAACGTTCGTTCTCGAGCCGTAGTCGCCTCGTGCTGGCCAATTCCACCGAACCGGTGCTACCTCCTCCGCCATGAATGTTTGATAATCTCGATGCTACCAGTGGATCACCGATTCCTGAATGAAATATCAATATTTATAATTATTTTTAATCGTGTGAATTTTGATTTAAAAAATGCGAGAGTTTGTGAAAGTTTTGTTTGGGTTTAATCGATGATAAATCGTCGATTCGTAAAGAAAATATCTTATTGTATATTTTCGAGAAAATGAAGGAGGAATAAATGTTTATAGGCGATGTAACGCAGTTTGTAAAAGTTTTTTTTTAATTTACATTTTGCAAAATTTGAAAAACTTTTCCCATGACTTCAAGATGCTTAAAAAAAAAAAAGATTCTCAATAAAACAAACAAAAATTGCTCTCAAAGAAACGTGAAACATTCGCAAGTTGAGAGGAATCAGCCGAGGGGCAGGCCAAGATTCAAAGAAAACAAATTCTCAATAAAAGAAGCAAGAAAGCTTCTTACTCCTCAAAGAACTCTCAACTCGTTTCCCATTTCGTACCGTTTAAAACAGTTAAAAAAAATCACATACACAAAAAAAAAACAAAACAAAACCAAAGAATTCATCATCGAGCATCCTCCACACCTTAAACGTGTATTCAAACAACTTTTGAATAATAAATCACAATACTTAACGAGGATTCATATCGTATATCAATAACACACCAAGAGAATCCAACGGAATCTTGAAAAAGCCCTCTCCCATCCCTTCTCGCTCCCTTGATCTCCTTGGCCGTAACTCATTCGTTTCCACCATTGGAAAAAGAAACGCGGAGCGTTTATCTCAAGTTCAGCTCCGTTTAATTCCGTCGGAATGGTCGGAAACGTGGCGCACCCGTTCGTTGGAACAATCAACGAAGGCAGCAAGGGCGAAGGGGTTGAAAGGGAAGGGTTTCCATAATTAAATGCAGGGTTACCCACCCAGGGAATTAGCCGGCGACGAGGGTCTGCTGCCCGGGGCTGGTCCAGGTGGTTCATTGTCCTCCTCGGCCCTCGCATCGCCGTCCACGAGATCCTTGTCGATGTCCTTCTCATGGTCGTTCATCTCCTTGGTGGATCGCAGCGAGTCGCGATTCGTCGATATCCGAAGCCTCTCGACGCTGGATCGATCGGTGGCGCCGCGATGAAAGAACGTCCTGTTGCTGGATCCTCGGTCGGGGCTCGCGCTTCCGGAACGAGAGTCCACGCTTCCGCCGGA